ATACAGATATAAAGGAATTTGTATGGGGTTTCAATTAAGTCCCGGATATCTTGGCGCGGGATCGGGGTGGTAACAACGACTTGCCAGTGTGTATAGTACGGATTCTCCAACATAAAGGAGGGTTTATGTAGTACATTGAGACGATCATATACAACTATGCTGTATAAATAAACATAAGATATGTACTGTTTATTGATTAGCCTATCTTTGTGCTGTTGCATACGTCCAGCAGCGGTGAGCTCATTTATTATAGCCAATAACAAGAAAGATCAAGTGCCGTATCAATTGATTGCTCCTTGCATAGACATGTACGACCAGACGGCGCAACCACTACGCCTCCTCCTCCACCGCTTCATCATCTTCTTCGCTCGACTCCCCAGCACCAGCACCAGCACTTGCTCCGCTCTCGCCTACCTGCTGTCTGCGTCTCCGCTTCTTGCCTGGACGCTCCGCTGGCGCTCGGTCGCGTATCTTGTGGTCGCGTAGCAAGCGGCTCGGGATGTCATTCCCGTTCTTCCAGTCGAGGTGCCATATCTGAAAGCACGTGCGCTCCATTTCCTCCCTAACAACGTTGCAGAGATACTTCCTGCGGCACAACCTACAGTCAGCGCTATCACCGTGTTAGTATCAAGCATGAACAGCATGTACGTACCTCTTTGGCCCTGCAGAGCATTCTGGACAGTAATACTTCGTATACTTCCGCGGCACCACCTTGTAGATAGCACACACTTTGCAGGTTCTGTGGCGACGCTTCTTTCCGGTTTCAGTGTCGGCCTTGTCTGGGTTCTCCGCCAGTTCGTGGCCATCATCAATGCGGTCTGAGCCACGTCGCTGCTCCTCCCGTCTTGGCGACGCTCCTCGTGCAGGTGAAGCGGCTGTACGCTCCTCAGCGGAGGTGGATTTCTAGAATAGGAAACATAACCAACATAACACATATTAGTAAATGCATTTATGTTGCCAAACCCATCATAGCAACTTACCTCAATCTCAGCGAAAGAGTTTTCATCAACAGCAAGTAGTTGTTCCATGAGTGTCTCGAAGAATGCGGAATGCTTCGGGGATTTGTGCCCATTGGCACGCTGGTTGTGTCGATACACAATAAAGGCGTTCACCAACGCCATGTCCAGCAATCCGAGAAACAAGGTCTTGTAGTACTTTCGTGATTTGTACGAAAGCTGCACGCTGTAGCGTTGCATCCGGAGCTGGTCGTGCACATCAACACCTCCCATGTATCGGTGATAGTCACGAACCAGCTCCGGTGCCGGTAGCTCTTTCATCTGGCCTTTGATACGCCGCACTACAATAAAAAAGCACAATAGTGAGCAATGATACATATATATAAACACACAGGCTTACTTACTGACACTGACTGTTTCTCTGCTGCCACCACTGCTCAGCATGTGGACGGGATTGCGGTCCATCCACATTGCTGCGGTTATCTGCGGAAAAAGCTTATTTTCAGCCAGCTTGATTGTCCCCTGTGGTGGTACTAGCTCTCTCACACCATTCACGGTTCTGTAAGACTTGTCAGTCTTCACATCCTTCGCGTACCCTGCCATACGCGTCTGGATCGTACCCGTAATGTACATCCGTCGCTGCAACAGCTCCAACGCCAGCTTCACCGACATGTAAAACCGGTCTGTGATTACCAAACGCCACGGGGAGGTCGGTGATGGCGGGCACAGCGCGTTCATGTTCCTTAGTACGGCAGCCTCGCCGCAATTATTATCAGCAGGAATCGGAGTCCGGAGATTACTCTTAGCACCACAGTACACCTCGAATCTGAACAGTCGCACAAACGCACACGATATTAGTAAAAGTAATAAATATGTTGGATTAGGAAATTCTCCACAATGTGGATGTTTGCCCGTCCAACATAAGCACTTAGACCAAAAAAAAAAGTGGCAAGCATTAGCTTGCCACCTTGAACGCACCTCATGCAATAAGCTGTATCTGCACACGCTGCCACGAACACCTTGGTCCCCCACTTGTGCGGTTTGTCCTTGTTGAACTGTCTGGTAGGATTGTAGCGGGATCTTGAAGGCAGCGTGGCTTCGTCAAAGCTAATGACAGGAGGAATCTTGTAGCCGCGCGCAAATGTACGCTGTAAAACCTCGATAACCGGCCGAATCTTCCATACACGATCCGTGCTAGCTTGAGGCGACTTGTTGTTGGAGAAGTGCAAGTATCCCATTATGTGGAAGAACCGGTTGCGGGACATGTACTTGCCGAAGCGTGGCGTTGGCAACGCACCAGCCGGTGTCAACTCCCAGTGAGCAGCAATCCCCTTTCGCACTGGAGACAGCATCCTTGCAATGAGAAGCGCGATGACGCGCAAAACCTCCCACGGTTCTATCGGCTTCACACGTGCTAGTCGCCGACGAATATCTGCGAGGTTCTCTACTTCTCCACCACCACGACGCTGCTTCGCTTGAATCGCCTGCGCACGACCCGGTATCGACTGCGTGTGGTAGCGATTGCTCTCGACGGCAATCTGTCTCACAATTTTGGCGGTAGGTAGTAGAAGAACAGCGCCAGTGGGTCTTCAGCCAC